ACCTCCATGGTTGTGCAGCCCTTCTCTACGCCAAGCGAGCATGGCCCACGTGTCCGCGCTGCCACTTCTCAACGTAAGGGAGCGCAGCCCACATAGTCGCTTCGTCCCTTCTTTACGCCAGTGAGTGCGGCCCTCGTGACCGTGCATACCTTCCCCGTGCCAAGAGAGCGCGACTCTTGTTCACACGAGATTTCCAGAGAGATTATATTTCGTGAAGTTGAACTTTTATGTTGTTGTATGTGTTGTATAGTGGATTCAATCTCTAATCTTTATCCTCTGATTTTTTCTCTCGAATTTGATGTGAAGATTGAAATATTTGTTATTGAATTTAGATCGAAGTTCTATGTTATAGTCTTCAAGTTGGTCTTTGAATTTGGGTTTAGAGAGTCTTCAATTTGGTGTGAATTCTCTCAGTTATAAAATTCTAAACCCTAAAAAATGAAGGAGACCTCCTCTATTTATAGAGGTTTCCACAGGTGGCTTTTGGGCTTGAATAATTTTGGACTCAACCCATGGGACCCAATTAAAGACATGTGACATTATATTAAATTGTCAATTTGTCTTTAATTTTAAATGATGGGTCCAAAATTTATGGTTCTACAATCCTTTTTATATAAAATAAATAAATACAAAGAGAAATAAAAGTTATAGTTAAAAGAAAATTAAACGAGAAAAGAAAATAATTTTCAGATGAAAAATAGATTAAGAGAAGAAAGAAAAGTGGTAAAAAACGAAATTTTAGAGTAGAGAGAGGAAAGAGGGTGATATGTTATAAAAAAAATGATAAAATTAATAGACCCATAAAAATGAATAATTTAGAGAGAAAAATAATATTAAATATTAAAATTTTAGAGGGAAAAAGTAATTCTTTTTAGAGATTTTTATGCAGAAAGAAATTCTATAGTGACAAAGAAATTTGTTAGCAATTGAGTGTTTGAAGAAAAAATAAAAAATGAGATTTTGAGAAGGAGAGACCTATTTTTAAAAACTATATATATATATATTTTTTGTTTTTAAAATTTATATAGAATTTCAAAATCATTTTTTAAAAACAAAAAACAGAAAATTAAATTGATTATAAAAAAATCTTGTTTTTCAACCAAAAAAATCAAAAACCAAAAATAGTTATCAAATTCGAATTTCTAAGGAGAAACCAAAAATCAAAAACCAAAAATAGAAAATAAATAATTATCAAACGGGTCCAAATTTCTTTTGATAATTTTGACAACGCAAAATATAGTCATTTTTATATTGTAAAGAAAACTAAGAAGCACATATCACAAAGTTTTCCATCTTAGCTAAGATCCTTGGCCACGAAGAACTCTCTTGAAAATGTTATTGCTTGTCATGTTGTTGAAGTGAGCAGTCAAATTGGGGGAACTGAGGATCGCTAAACTAAAACAACAATGACCATAACAGATAAAGTTAACAAAAATCTTCACAAGAACAACAGCCATCCTTGAAATGATGGAAAACATAAGGATCTTTCACTATGATTTCTCGCCCAACAATCTTGGATATGAACTTTGCAGATTCATGGCAACTGTGGCATACACGAAGGTTCTTTGTAATACAAATTGTCCTTCCTGCTTCCGTACTAATCAGTCCGAATGAAATCGCCAAGAGTTCGCTGTGTCCTATTAGAACACATTCCCGCTCCTCATCGACATCATGGAAGCTGAAATCCGGTTTCGGCTTCAAACCATCATCTTCCATTTTCTTCATCAGACACTCTAAATTCCAATATATGTTCTGTGAACGCGGGTGGGATACGTCCCCTGTCCCGAACACATGAATTTTGTTGCGGAACTCCATCCAACTGTAAGCCTTCTTAGGCCTTAATCCCATGTCTCTAACTATTTCTCTCGACTTCTCGACCATGTCCAATTTTCCGTTGCAGGCATACCAGTTTGAAAGTAGAATGTAATTCTCAGCATTTAGAGGTTCCAAATCACACAGCTGCTCAATGATTCGCTTGCCTAGTTTTTTGTCACGGTGGGTCCTGCATCCATCAAGCAATGCTCTCAAAATCTCAGGATGTTTATCAAGTTTATGTTGTTCGACGAATGCCCTTGCTTCATCCAGTCGTCCTGCTCGAGCTAAAAGAGCTACCTTTAATGCAAAGTGTGAAAAAGTCGGTTCCATAATGCAATTGAAGTAAAAATCCCCCTCCTCTACCAAGCTAGCAGTACTACAAGCATGTAAAACTGAAGTATAAGTGATCTCATCCCTATGCATCCTCAAGTTCCTCTCCATCAGCCGGAACAAACTGACTCCGAGTTTTCCTTGGCCATGTAAGCTGTAGCCAAGAATCATGACAGTCCACGAAATCGCATCTTTCTCCTTCATCCTTGAGAAAATTTTCAATGCAGATTGGATACATCCTGATTTAACATACATGTCAACCAAAGCATTTTGGACAATGAGATTGACATCAATAGCACTTTTAAGCACGTATCCATGAATCTCTCTTCCATGCTTATGCGCGGCCATTCTTCCACAGGCTGGGAGAATGCTGCTGATTGTAATTGGATCAGGCTTCAATCCTCCATCCATATTCATCTGCCGAAACAGCTTAAAGCCCTCATTGATTCCACCTTTCTTAACATATGCTTGGATCAGTTCTGTCCAGGAAATGACATCTTTCGATGGCATCCGATTGAAGAACCCCCTAGCATCTCTAATACTACCACAGTCAAGGTACATTTTCAACAGGGAATTACTGACCAAGACGTCAAATTCCAAGCCATGAGTTCTGGCGAGAAGGTGGATGTTTCTTCCATGTTGCAGCAATTTCAGTGATCCACAAGCCCCAATGGCTGTGGCCAATGCCACAGCATCAATATCAGCCGCCAACTCCACCATCTGATAAAACAAGTCGATGGCAAAGCTGGGTTTATCTTCCATCACGTACAGCTTGGCTAACATGGTCCAAGAAACAGAGTTTCTGCAAGCCGACTTGTCATGGAGCCACTTAGCAGTGTCAGCCCCATCAAGAATCCCGTACAATTCGATCAAGGAAGTAATTACATAGAGGTTAGAGGAGAACCCAAGTTTGAAGACTTGAGCGTGGAGCTGTTTGCCAACCTGAAGATCGCCACACTGGCGGGAAGCGCCTATAATTCGAGGAAGGGTGTGATTGTCAGGGCGAACACCTCGCAGCAACATCTGTTCATACGTAGAAATAACAAGCCCCACATCTCCATTAGTGAGATGGGTTTGAATCAGATTGTTCCAAGCAAAAGTATCCCATGTAGGAATTTCGTCGAACGGGTGGTGGGCTTCACATAAATTAGCATAATTCTCGGTAATTGCGGTGCGAACATGAGGGGGATTATTAAATGGTCGGCGGCGGCGGTATGTGAGATCGGTTTTTGGAGTAATGGGGAGACGACGAAAGTGGGTGGAGAGGAGGAGATCCATGGTGGAATTTCAGGGGATAGCCATTGGGAAGCAGAAGACGAAAAAAAGGAGAATTTTAGTTTTGCATTGTCATTCATCATAAAAATGAATCATGTTACAGAAAATTGTAGAGAAGCTTATTCAATTCTTCAGCTCTCGATTGAGGCAATGGGTTTCTGGAATGGGGGCATTCTTTTTCAGTCGTTGGTTCCTGTAAAATTAGCCGTCCTTCGTGTTCGTCAGGCGGCTCTTTGGTAGATACCCAAATCAAATGGGATTACGAAGCCAGAGGGATGAATGGACCTTTTTTGGGGGGATTTTAACACAGAGCCTATATAGAGCCCCAATTCTAGAATATGAATTTGGGAAATTGTATAATAACCAAAATAAATAGTCCATTTTAAAAAATATTAATAAAAAAGTAATAATTATTATAAAAATGAGCAAACTACAGGAATGAAAAAAATAAATAGGACATTTTTAAAAAGAACCAAAAATATTAGTTTTTATAAAAGTGACTAATTAACCATTTTTATAGAAATTTTAAATTTTATTTTGGACAAATATACCATTAAAACAAAATTGGAAGACCTTTTAGATATTGTAATTTTATAAAGTAATTTATTCTACAAAATTTAGATTTTTCTCTTAAAATAAACTCCTCTACCGAATCCAGCCCAAATTTACCAATATATCATTTTTTTTATATATTTAAGTATTATTAAATCATGGAAATTCAAAAGGGTTGATTTGGGAAGTTGAATTTTAAATCCCCCAACTTTTCACTCCTAAAATAAAAAATACTCAAATACCCAAATCTCTTCATATTCTTCATCCGAAAACAACTACATGTCGTTGCTTTCTTCATAAAAAACACAACTTTTTTCCGATAGTCTTATTCATTTTCTCCGTTCTCTTGCCGGTAGCAGCCCGTCTCGTTCATCCCTCGCTGGCAGCAGCCCATCTTGCTTTTCACCATTGTTTCCGACAGACCGTCTCCTCGTCTTCTTTGTTTTCTGTTGCTACCGTCTCCGACTGCCCATTTTCGATTCGCTCGCTTTTCACCATTGTTTGGCAACCCATTTTCTACCATTTACATATTAAAACTTCTAGGTTTGTTTTTTATTTCCGATTTTGGATGTTCGAGTTTGCAATATTATTAAGAATGGTTTTTCAATATAGGGGATTATACTAGTTTCTGATTTTTTTAGCATATGCTAGTGTGTTATTTGGTTACGTAGTTTATGTAACGCCCCAAAACTTCCCACACACTTCTAGGTCACGTTAACTACCCACCTGCCTAAACTTAACTCCAAACACGAGATAACAAATCCCTGTGAATTAATTATATCAAATAAAGCTTCAACTCTCATCAATTTACCAATGAATCAACTCTATAGAATATCAATCAAACATCCTCCGTGGACAACCCATGAGGCAACTTCATTATTCCAACTAGGCAAACTCAATGAATGGAAGAAAACTAAAATAAACACCTATTCTGAAATAAAGTAAACAACGAGTGGGGAACCTCCCAATTATTCAAATAAGAAGAAGTAGTTTATTGACCAAACCATAAAGTCTTAACCATCTAAACCTAAGCTAAGCAAAAGCAACTACGCAGCCTATGGTCCTCGCTTGTCATGTCTCCTCCGTCTCATCACCATGGTCGCCAACAAATCCTTCGCCTGAAACAATAATTGTAGAGGGGGGTGAGTATATAAAATATACTCCGTAAGTAGCCCTCACCAACGACACACAAACATCATGCTCACACAAAATCATGAAACAATCATAGTCATGCTCTCCATCACATTATGCAATCAAACATAGACACACTCTATAAGATCCGGCGACAACCACCACCATGGACAAATTAGTTACCAACCTCGAGTCTCCCTAACATCTCAAGCACCTCTACGCTTATTACAGCTATCCAAGCATTCCACAGCTAATTCCTTCGAGTAGAGTCGGCCCCTGACCATTTTTACCCAGAGCCTCGACACTA